TCACTCCGCTGATCTCAATGTATGTCTGAAGCTGCTGCGAGACTCGCGCTAGCCTAATTAAATTACTTATATCTAGTTTGCCGCATCCAGCTCGACGTGGCCATGCTCTACTTCGGTGTGTGTGTCGTGTTGTAGTGTGTGGTTGTGTTTGTGTTGTTGAGTGTGCTGGAGCTGCACATGTGGATGATTCATCAAGTATGCCCAGACAAGTGTGTGTTTCGTAGATGGCGAGTACGTTTGGCACTGCGTGTTGCGCCCAATTGTCGTTTATTCTAGTGTGATGCAGTTGACCGTGTGCACTGTGGCGTACTAATAGATCGGTAGACGTCTGGGGCGCGCTCCAGTACCCACCGTCGCCGTCCAGCGTTGCCTGTTCGACCACGCGATTATTTGCGTCGTTATGTCGTACCTACGCGTCCGGTCCGTTGTTCGCTGCAGCCGTGCTTGCTTGCCTTGCGTGTGTTCCCGTGGTCTTGTCTTGCACGCCGCCTTCAAATAGTCGGCGACTAAACTCGCAAGCTCATTGCTTATTGATGTGCCTGAACCATGGGCCTACCCGGCGACAAAATGGAGATTTATTACAGAAAATAAGTTTCCTAAGTGCGATATTTACATTCCGCCGAATATATAGGTCAGACTATCTCTAGATTATATTATCCGGTCATTTTAATTTTATTTTTTTTACAAAAGTTTGAAAGGCCCTGAACGCTCATCCCCGACTGCGGGCTCCTTACCGGACGCGCCGCGGGCGCTTTTTAAATTTATTCCCTCCAAAAACAAAAAAAGCCTGCATATTCCGCGAATAGTCAGTTCTTCCGGATCTCTCAATTCCGTGATAGATCGGTCAACAGCATTCAGCATATAGCCCAAATATTATATTAATAATTTTTAACGGAATTATAACTGATCTATTCAGCATATCGCCACATAACTCAATTCGCTAGATTTCCTACTTAATCCTGGTTTTGCCTGCCGGAGTGCCGGTCGCCCGGGTTCAGCCAAAGTGTGCTTCTCGCGCTCCGTGCCCGCAATGAATTGCCTATACACACAACAATCACTATCGCCTAGGCATGTACTATATGTAGTCCGCGACAGTGCGGCACGCGACGCCGTGGCGTGGGCACTAATGCTGCAGATATGTAAACAGCCGCCAGTTTAAAAACAGAAATAGCTGTTGGGGGGAAACTACATTATTGTGTTACTTTCATAATGAGGCCCTTATTACCATTTCGATCATATCTGCTAACTGCCAAATGTGGTGTAGATGAGTCAATCCGTTATCTTGCACCCATAATCCGTGGGCCAATGCGGCACCCTGTGTGTGTTGTGTGTGTGTAACGTGCTTGACCCATTCGAACAAGATCGACATCGGCACCCCCCGCGGTGTGCTGTACTGTAGTGTCGCGCTATAACAAAGCAATTGTCGTGTGAGTGGTGTGGGGGTGTAGCGGTCCGCATTTTGCTTGTGTGGACTGTGTGTGTTTGGAAGGTAACCCGCTGTATCCCATAGGCAACTGTGGATATTTTTACCGCTATTCACTGTTTATGTTATGGCCTTCAAGCCGCCTTTCTTGTACAATTTTTGTAAAATATTATGTATTGCGTGCGTTGCAGTGTTCTTAGCATTTTGCTGTAGTACCGTACTGCTTGTATGTGGTAATTCTGTGGTGGGTGATCCAAAGCGTCGTATATATGGTGCGCTCTTGTATGTGTGACGCGGCCTGTCTATGTTTATTGTCTAGAGGTGTTTGCACGCTGCGCCTGGCGCTGCGTACAATATCGTGCAGCGTTGCCGATCGCAATGCTCGCGGCAGCGTGGACTGCCCTCGAATAATCTTTTTCGCACGTGTTTGTCCAATTTCGAATGCTATTGCTTTCTGCTGAGAACTTACCAAGTCCATTATATCTAAGTTTCTCGCCATATTCCATGTGAATCTGATTATTATTCTTCGAATACCGAAACGTTAATCAGAGGCGACGGCTCAATTAAAATCCGCGAGCATGAATGCGCGCCCGCCCGAATCTATATACAGAAGAAAACTTGATCAATTTGCATTGTTTGCGATAAGTCGCAAGACAACTCAAGTATCTATGGCAAACGCGTGCCACGCTTTGCCACGTTGCACGTATGTCACTCTATGACGTATGCCGTGGACGGTTTAACGCGGGGGTTGTATTGCAGGTTTACGTTCCTGCTATGTCTTCTTCACGCTCTCCGGATCGCAGACACGAAATTGTCCATATTGTGTAAAGGCGGACATAGACCTACACACACACACACACACACACACACACACACACACACACACACACACACACACACACACACACACACACACACACACACACACACACACACACACACACACACACACACACACTCACAGTGAGGAGTTCACTCACTCCGGACACGGACATGATGACTACTCGCTCGCCGCTAGCCGGGCGCGACGTGGATTTACGAACTGCGGACTTTCGTCTCGAGCGCTAATTATTAACGAGGCGGATAAGTGAAACGGCCGAGCTTAACAGCTTGCTCTGCTGGGTCTCGTCGATAGACGGACAGATAGATATATAGGTGTGCCGCCTCGGCCGCCACCCATGCAGCCGCGAGAGAGGGCAATGAACGACCTCATGGTCTCACCACACACACGCGCTGAAAGGTCAGCAGCGTAGGCTTCGTGCGGGCCACGGATCCATATAAGAAACAGTAACAGCTGGTTGGCATAAGCCGGCGAATTGATCCGCCCTTCAGGACGACCTCTGCTGCATGCGATCGCCATTCACGTGATCATTCATTCACGTGATTCCAGCGTCATCGGATGTGGGTTAACAACTATAGCTGTGGATTCCCCCCTTTTCGCGGCCTATAACGTCATCTCGATTCTGAATTCGTGTATACTGGGGTTCTTCAGATAAATGGTCCATGCAGGTCACACGTAGCTGGGCCGATAATAAAACGATAGTATATAAACACGAAACTTTACTACCAAGCTTTAAATGTACTATGTTTTTGTGCATATCGCCTAGTAATTATAATGATGACCCAGTTTAAATAGACCTCTGTAGCACACGATATCAAATCACACGGTAGGACGTTGAAGCTGATTTACATAGATTAAATAGAATTAGTAGGCGGAGGGCAACACAACCATTAAAATATCGGTAGTAAAGATGAACCGCATTAATTTTGTTATCCTTTTATTATTTGAAGCTACCCAAGCCTGGCGCCTGTGCGTTTTATGCGCTCCATTGAGACCCAGCCCCGTAGATTCACCACCACCTCCTGCAATGGCCGCGTCGATGTCTGCAACGCCGTTATATAGAAGTGGCCGATTGAGTGATTTCAGTGATTCCCTGAATGATATCATTTGGAGGCGACACGCCAGTGATAGTCTCGGCGTAACATACCTCCGAGGCAAACGGAAAATCAACGGCCAAAGTGCTTACGCAGCTAAATATACATTAGTGGGCAGACACCTGTCATTATAAAGGACACGTTTGTGGTTTTCCCTCTTGAGTAGCACTTAACACAGTGAAGCCAGATCTCTAGAACGGACACTTGTCTATGGAGGACACGTTAGTTAGTTTCCCTCGTGTGACCACTTCACTCAAGTTCGACCGCATATCGCAAGATGTCTTCAGTTAGAAGAGAAGAAGCGCTCGTGTACCAAAGTGCCTATATATCGCCAGATATCCCTCGGGGAAGATTTAAGGGGAAGAAGAAGTCGATAAATGTCGAAGTGAACTAGAGAGGTACGGAACTAGGATCCTCGACAGGGCGCTGGTGTTGTCGGTCACAGAACTGTACGGGGATGGTCGGTCACGCACCGATGATGGCCTGATGCACTCTATACAGATTCAACTCTCGTTTACCCCTCGCCGCACCCATTTCGCTCGTTTACGTTGTTTACCCCCACGAGAGCTCAGAGGTTAGGTCCAGCGCTGTCGTGGGGGAGGGAATAGAGGGTGCGAATGGTAGGGAGGGGGTGGTGGGAGTGATTCGCGCGCTTAGAGAAGGGTGTGGGTGGTGGGATGATGGTTGGTTGTACAGCCGGCATGCGAAGAAAGACGACTATCCGTCAAAAAGTGTGTCGGCTGCCAGGACCGTAGCACGTGTCATGTCAAGGTGGGAAAGTAAAGCCGAATATAATAATGTAAATCATCTTCAAATATGTACAATTCACCGTGGAATCATCCGCGAAACCCTCGCGTCCCCCAGCGACCCCCGGAACACTACACACGTTGACGCGGCGCCCCTCCACCTTCATTACTAAACGGAGTCACGAAATTTCGCATCCCCTCTTGCTCAGGCTACGAGATGCGGTCAGGTCGAGTGCCTAGAGAGAACCCGTGACAGCCCGTGACATGACGTTGACCGCCGCGGCCGTTCTGTCAGCAGTCTGGTGACCTGACTGCTGCTGACAGTTGAATTCACAGGGGGCGCTGGTGGCTGATTGTAACGGCACGGGTGATTGCAGGAGGCCGTAATGCGTAGATATAACTGTGCCAGTCATAGTATGCGGTACTCCGTGATATACCAGATAATATTCTGTTAATTAGTTTAGTAAACTACGCGTGCACGTGTAATTCTCCTTTCGTCGACTTCTCGGCGAGAGTAAGGTTGGTGATGATGGCGCTCGGTGAGCTTTCGTACAGCTTTTTTTCCCCACCCAATTCTCTCTCTCCGTCTCTTTCTCTCTCAATCTATCTTCCTACTACAACAACCAGCCGCGTTTCAAGCCATAAAGTAAGGGCCCAACACCATGGAGAAAGAAACCTGAACCCGTACTCATCTTTTTTTTAATTACTATCTAATCATTTTCATTGTTTTTTATTATCTATTATTCATCCATTTATTAACTGATTAAATGTTATATATCTTGTTATAAAATCATTAATTAATCAAGTTATTTATTTATATGATATTTTATTATCTTTTATTTTACTATCGTTTTATCTCAGTCTGCATAATGAGTCAGTCGCTAGCGGGAACCTACCTGTTGGGGTCATAGGTCGTGGGCTGCGGACGCTGCTGCGAGGCCGAGGGGAGAGGTGAGAGTTCACCATGCTGTTGTTCCAGTTCTCGTCGGTGATGGCGCTGCTGCGGCCGCGCACGTGACTCGGCAGCACGCTCGTGCTCTCCGCGTGCCTCAGCGGTCCTACGTCACTCGCTATCTTTGGCAGTGACGTTACCTGAAAGAATGTAAAAGAGATAGCTGCTTTAGTTTCCCGTAGTAGTTCGAATAGTTCGTTAGTAGTCACACACGCATTCGTTTTCGTTTTCGCGTTCGTCGGATCGGTCGATCTATTCCGGTTTATAGGCAGGTTTTTTTTTTCAAGCAGAGAACCCAAATTGTCGACTTTGCGAAACTTCGTTACTACGCGACGATTTAGACCGTCTCTATCCCAACGCTTACTGGCTACTCAACCCATTGCTCCAGGGCTGATAGGTCAATTGAAGGAGCGACGTCGTGCAAAGCTGGGAAATAATTACGCACCGTGTGCCTATGTATTCCTGTGCGATGCAATTGGTAATAACGTCACGTACATCGGTGAAAAATTACTGCATGAATACACAGGTGCTAATTTTATATTTAGGTGCGTCTGTGTGTGGGTGGGTTTGGGGGGGGGGTGCCCACCCTGTTTTACAGTTCTTAGTCACGTCAGAGGTAATGTACGTGGTTATGTACGGGGGTTTGTTTGGATTCCCGCCAACCTCTTTACGACCGTTACATGTAGGCCTACTTTCGTTGAATCGAATATAAATAAATAGCGCGGTTCGTGTTGCTCGTGATTGCATGGCTTTTAGTACTATTTTACATATCCGATAAATGTGGAGTACCCTCGTATTTTCATGCAGCTGGGTGTAATGACAAGGACATGTTCATACACTGTGCATAGATATGTTCATTGTAACAGCTTTCACTCCCTCACTCCGCACTTGTCACCCACTACTATTGAGGTGCCATTAAACTCGCAAAATAACATCAGCAGCATATAATGCTGTTCATACGCATATCAACGAAGGACTCGCCATATTGTTTGATGATATTACATTCACTCACAACGATTTAGAATCGTACGCGAGTTTATTTTTGATTATAACTACTTTCGCTTGCAGCGTAACAGTAGGCCTACGCTGTGCGTGCGTGCGCACGCGTGTTTTTGCACGTGTGTTTGCGTGTGTTTGTGTGTGTGTGCGTGCGTGTGTACGTGCGTGCGTGCATGCGCGCGTGCGTGTGTGTACGACCACTTTCACCGATACGGTTTTTTTAAACCGGCTCGCTACGTCTCGCAACATTATAATTGCTTAAGCCGGTTGTCACCTTACGACGTTTGAGATGAACTCACGACAAATGCTTTGCGTATACGCGGGAAATCGTAACTACGGTTTAGCATAATTCTCACTGGATGCGACAGGACGCGCCTGATTGGGCGCGCGACTTCCCCGCAGCTGATCGGACATTGCTCTCTTACTACGCCGTTCTCGCGTCGTAGACTGACGCACCGTCGCGCGTAGCAGGCAGCATTCGCACCGAAATTCGGACTGCAACGACTACTGGCGTCAGTCTGCCCAGCGTGACTTTACGTTCAGTGTTGATCCGTCCGTATACTTCGATTGCTTACGCGTACAGCTGATACGTGCCGAAATCGATGACGCAGATCAACAGATACCGACAGCATTCCCCATAAATACAGTCAAACACACACACACACACATATATATATATATATATATATATATATATATATATATATATATATATA